CCAGGGAGATGCAGAGCAGCTTTTCTCGCCCGGGAGGACGCAGGCGGCGGCGCATCTGGGCGGTTCCGCTGCCTGCGTCCTCCGGGGCGAGAAAAGCCCCATTCGTAAGTACGGATCCGCCGTAAGTTGGATCCGCGTAACCCGGGGACTGCCTGTAATTAATTAATGTACTGTGTTCTTCCTTGATTTTATTTTCTCTCCTATTCATATGGGTATATTTTCCTCCTTTACTATCATTGCCTGTATTACAGTAGCATCTTAAGGCCCCAGTTGTGATCCAGTTTACAGCGAGATGTAAACTAAACATAGCAAGACATGACACCTGCCCCAAAGAGCTTCAATCTAAATCAGACAACTCAGATGAAAGGGGAAAGGGAAAACAGAGGCAGGGAGAGAAGTCACTTGCCCAAGCTCACACAACAATGACTATTTTGGCTAAGGTAATTGTCACAGGGAGAGAGAGCCTCCATTAATGGAGGTAGTCTCTGTCCTTTTGTGACTAACAGGTGTGCCTTGGCAAGTCCTGGACAAATGTAGGGATGGTACCTAGGAACAGGAGCTACATAAGGAAGCTTGAGAAGTAAGAAAAAGGAGAGATGGACCAGAAGCAAGGAGGCCTGGATAGCACAAGATAGAAACTGTGGAGCTGGAAATGTGGCAGGGAGCTGGGAAAGAACCCAGAAGGAATGTGTGACTTTTACTAAGTCAGGACAGGCAGACGTTGGCTATGTTATAGCTCCCTTTGACCTCTGGAATGCCATTAAGAGCACAAAGGGGATAAGCCCTGGATCCCTTGGTTTAAAGCAGGGCTACTCAGGATGCAGCCTGTCTGTTTGCAGCCCGTGGTGCGATTCGGGTTTACGCGGGGATCAACATGCAGCCTGCGGGTGGGAGCCAAAACAAAAAAGTAGTCAATATAATGGTCTTCTGTTGAGATGTGTTTTAGTAGTTAAATTCCTGGACTGTCATTGCTCATTAAAAATGCTGACGTACGGGTGGAAATTGGGTAACTACTGCATTTTATTAATATCAGCAGAACTGACTGAAATGGGGCCTGCATGTTGTGTAGTCTTGCCTTAATCTTTGTATTCATGCCCATCAGTGTGAAAGAAGCTTTTGCATATATTTTTGCATATATATATATATGCAACCTCATATGCAACCTCACTTAAGTTGTGGCCCTTGGCATGTGCTGAGAGTATCATTGTGGCCCCAGGGGCGTCCAAAGTTGAGTATCAGAGGGGTAGCCGTGTTAGTCTGGATCTGCAAAAGCGACAAAGAGTCCTCTAGCACCTTACAGATTAAGAGATGTATTGGAGCATTAGCTTTCATGGGCAAAGACCCACTTCGTCAGATGCATGTAGTGGAAATTTCCAGAGGCAGGTATAAATATCAGGCAAGAATCAGGCTAGTGATAACTAGGTACATTCAATTAGGGAGGATGAAGCCTACTTCTAGCAACTGATCTGGAGGTGTGAACACCAAGAGAGGAGAAACTGCTTTTGTAACTGGCTAGCCATTCACAGTCTTTGTTTAATCCTGAGCTGATGGTGTCAAATTTGCAGATGAACTGCAGCTCAGCAGTTTCTCTCTGAAGTCTGGTCCTGAAGTTTTTTGCTGAAGTTGAGTAGGCCTTGTTTAAAGGAAGACTGGGACTATAGAAGAGCTGAGAGTGAAAAAAGGCAGCAGAGACAGAGCTGTCTGAGTTATAAGATAGGAATTCTCTGCTAATGTCTTTGAGACATTGGTGTTCTGACCCCAAGGGTGTATTGGAGAAGTACTGACAGGGACCCTGGCAGAGGGACTGAGGCTGGGTTTTTGCAGGGCAACTTTCTGTCAAAAGGCGATACCTGAGAAAGGCCGGGCCTGTTACAATGATAGTTTACCTTCACTGCCAAATACAGACATGAATTGACCAATGCTTTTATGACTAGATAAAGGCTTCTTGTGATAACTGGACCTGCATGTTCACCCTAATTGTAAGATTAATTGGGAGATTAACAATTTAACTTGTTTTTGAGTTTTTTAAAGGAAAAGGCTTTGGAGAAAAACTAGCTAGTGGAGTGACCAAATTGACTGTCACTTTGTGATGGGGCATCTGCCCTGCACTGGCCCTTTAAGAGTAAAAACCCAGCTCTGGCAGAGGGCGGGAGCCTTGGATCCAGGAGCAGAGGCAGAGACAGCGGATTCGGGCCCACTTGAGGCGGTATAAATAAGGGTTCCTGGAGAGGTGGAGACTAATTCTCACTCTTGCTCCAGCTGTGGAACAGGACAGACCTGGCTGCCTGGAAAGCTAGAGGCTTCCTGACACAGAGCAGGGCTAGGGAAAGGCAGACAGAGCTGGGGAATCTCTGGCCAGGCAAACTCCCAGGCTGCAGGGACTGAGATAAGACCTGAGGCAACTAGGGTTGCAGGGAGGCAGCCAGGGCAGCAGAAGGCAGCAGGTCCACACCTGTTGCCAATGATGAGTGGCCATACCTTGGGGCAAACTGCAGTCTGACAAGGGCTAGATGAAGACTGACAGTAGATCACGGAGGCAAGGTAGGCATAGGGGGTTTGGGGTTCCCTGAGAGGGGGAGGACCGCAGAGTGTGGAGGCCCTGCAATAGGGCAGTACCTAGAGGGAAGGAACCAGAGTCTGGGAGGGATGCGGGCCCTAACACAGGTGGTGGAGCCATTAAAATGTAACAGCAAGCAAGACATTGGCCAGAAGGGGGTGCTCCAGCACTGAATGAAGCTGATTCCCTGAGTAACCAGCAGGAGGTGCTATGGCAGTGAATCCCACTGTGGTACACATAGGGTTGCCAGGTGCCTGGTTTTGAACCAGACAGTCCAGTATTTGAGCTTTCTGTTAGGAAACAAAGTGAGAAAATAGAAATCGGCAAACTCCCAGGCTGCAGGGACTGAGATAAGACCTGAGGCAACTAGGGTTG